GTTGGAGGCCACATGTCCTTTGGTGTCATTAGCGTAAGGTAGAATTCTACCCCTGCATATGAATCTTCCATTGGGTTGTCCCTGAAAAAATAAAATAGTATTATGAGTATGACTTTTAGACTAAGAGTATGCACATAGACTAAAACAATTACTCACAAATCGGTCTTAATGTATTGGATCAAACGATCAACTTTGCCACGCTCGACCTCTTCAAATGGATCGTAGATCGCATCAGGAGGGCTTAAATCAGGAATTATTCATCGCACCACCGAACTTCCCTTGAAAGGAGTCACTTGTGACTTTGCAAGTGTGAGACCCCTTCCTTTCCGGTTGGGCGGAACGTCTATCTTTGTCCCAATTCCCAGCAGCTTATCAATTGCTTCATCTTTTTCGTCAACTAAGTGTGGAATGTAGAATTTTGTTCTCAATCGGGGAGGCGTGATAAAGTCAGTCGTATCGTCTGCTTCCACTTGGCTTTTTTTCACATTGACCTTATCTTTTGTATGTGTAACCTTCTTCACTTTTTCGTCAATAGGTTCTCTCTTAACTTTCACAACATTTTTCACTATTGCTTTGGAGTTTCTAATGACCTTTGAAATCGGGAACTCTGGATCCGAAGTTTCCTGCATCACTAACGTCCATGACTGTGGACAACCATAACTCAATTAGTTTGACCGTAAGATGCGTGATAGTAGTAAAATTGTTTGTATTCGTCAACAGCGACCATTAAAATGTCTACTATGTTCTTTAGAAAGTCTACCATCAGGATAAAGAACAATGGGAAAAAATTTTCTACCAACCAGCGTTTACATGACAAGGAGTCTACCACCATTTACAACCCATTAGAAAATGTCAACCATGGTAAAAAGTCTACCGTCATTTAATAAAAAGTCTACCATCGTTTACGACCACCATTATAAAAATGTCTACCGTCATTTAATAAAAAGTCTACCATTGTTTACCATATTCATTAGAAAGACTACCATCGTTTATCATTACAATGTGTACCATATTCATTACAAAGTCTATCATCGTTTACCATTCCAATGTATACTATATCCATTAAAAAGTCTACCATCTTGAAAAAGTACATTGATAAAAAAAGTCTACCATCCATTACAACCATGATAAAATAGTCTACCATCGATTACAACCATGATAAAAAGTCTACCATCGTTTACATCCATCGAGAAAAGTAGTTTACAAAGTCAACAAACCCAAAGTCTATCCCCAAAAACATTCTACCATCCCAAAAGAAGTCTACCAACACGTGTTCCGGAAACAAACAAAGTCAGACAGAAGCAAACGTGTTACCAACACTAGAATAGAGACTTCCGTACCTGTTCCTTTGTCGCCGTTGGTTGCTTTTTTGTCAGGGGTTGCTTTTTCGCCGGGGGTTGCTTTTTCGGATTACGTTGGGATGCATTCGACTCTGCATCTTCAGGTGAATCTACTGCACCTTCGTTCGGATTTTCCTTCCCCGGCTCCATCGCTTTAGCCACATTAGACAGGATTTGGCTTTCAAGATGAGTAAGTCTTCCTCCAACTGTGGTCTCTATTGCATCAACTTTCGTAGCTAATTGTTGAATTGCGTTTAAAAGCGCAGCAGCATCTACCGCTTGCTTCGTCTCTCCACATGTACCACTGCTTACTTCTTTTCGCCTTAGAAAGTCTTTACGCTTCTGCGTCACATAAACACTTAGTGGGCTATCCGATTCAGCAGAATCAGATTCCACATACGCATCTTTTTCCTTCTCCTTCCCCTTTAGCCTCTCCTTCCTCTGCTTCCTCTCCTTCCTCTCCTTCCTCTGATCATCAGCACTTTCACTACTCTCGTTCTTATGCTTCTTCTCCTTCTCATCCTTCCTCTCCTTCTTTGAATGCGCTGACTCTGTATCTCTTGACTTCCATATTGTCTCGTCCAAGCAGCCATTGAGGATATCAATGATCATGTTATGCAACTTTGGATCCACATCTGCTTTAGACTCTTTGTCTGGCCAAATTGGATAAATCTCCTCTAGTGGCTTCGTAAGTAGATGTCTCACCCGAATCTACCAAATTATTCCAACACCACCACGTAAGAAAATATATCTACTACATTGTCATATAGTAACTATAAATGACACCCCAATAGCAAGACATGAATACATACCTTGTTGTCTTCATTTCGGCTTTTTTATTCTGTTAAAACCTCCACAAGGTTGTATCAGATCCTTGAAGAACGCCATCTTAGTAGAGGTGGGTCCAAGACATTGTGATTCATTTCTTTCTTTCCAAATTTCTCTCCCAATATAGGAAAAGACTCATATGCCCAAATAAGCAATGCATGCACACATCCTCGGAATGTGTAGCTATCTCCGTCCAATGAAGCAACTTTTATGGACTCTATTAACTCCTTAAAGCCTAGGCGCCCCCACGGTGTCCTCTCGAACACATCGGGATCCATGACTCTTTTAGCCCATGACAATGGGATTCGACTGTTCCGATTAATTCTCCAAACTCCTACGGTCAGAATGAATAGCAACGCCACCATTCTCTTCTTCTCAGAGCTCCAAGTCGTGCATATCTCAAAAACATCCACCAACTCTTTCCAGTTAGGTGCTACACCTGCGTTAACCCCCATCTCTGCCCAGAATTCTCGGTGATCAATATCCCACTCGTCTTCCACAATGAACTGACAGTTGAGACCGGTGATTTCTGCAAACTCATGAAGAGAAAACCTTAGAGGCCGTCCACCAATTAGTGACCACATTTCGTACGTCCTATTGACAGCCAACTGGTTTGTCACGAAATGATGTACTGTCTTCGCAGCCCATACGTAACGCTTTTCTGCTAGTTTCAGAAACACTCCAACCTGTGAAGAGTTCATAATGTCATTGTATACCGTCTCCCCAACTGCTTCCTTCATCATCCCAAAATCACTCAGCCTGCAGTAGGTATTCATACTCCTCTTTTGTAATGGAGATTGCCCTTCTTCATACAATCTCGATGGGTATTTACGGTCCTCGGTTGTAGATGCCATCACAAGTCCTACACAATAAAAAAATCTACCATCAACAAAAATAAACATTACCGCAACAAAAGTTGACCATCAACCAAACAATTAATCTACTACTACATAATAGAACCATTAAACAAGTCTACCATAACCGCAACAAAAGTCGACCATCAACCAAACAATTATATCTACTACTACACAATAAAATCATTAAACAAGTCTACCATCAATAAATAACCATAACCGCAACAAAAATCGACCATCAACGTAACAATTATATCTAATACTACACAATAAAATCATTAAACAAGTCTACCATCAACAAATAACCATTTAAATAAAAGCCGACATCAACCACAAAATTGAATCTACAACTACAATCTACAACTACAAAATAAAACAAATCTACCATTACCAAACACAAGTCGACCATCAATCACCCAATATTTAATCTCCTAAAACAAATCTATCGTAACAACCAAAAAATTCATCAAACAGGGAACAAATGTACAATACGCCCAAATCTACAAACATTTCCGTCAACACAATATTTTACTAAAGTTAGAGTGACTAACCGAGAATCTAGCCCTGTTTCAATGGAAATCTGAAACCTAATGGTCGTGTGCTTCTCCAGAATCAACAACCGAACTTCTTTTCCTTCAAAATAAAATGAAATTTATGTTACGCTTTATCAAACTTTACAATATTGCAACTACGGCGGCGATTTTTCCGACATCAGTCCACCGCCATAGCAATTGAAACGATTTATCTTTCTTTCCCGTAAACACGGTTTTTCCGAAAAGCACCGTCGAATAAAAAATTTATCAACGATTAACTCTTACTTAGTTGTTGTCGAAATTTGCTTTTTCTTCGCCGGATCTGAACAATTTTGGAAATTCCGACTTTCTCTCTCGCCAAAAATCGCAGGATAGAAATTTCTTTTTTTTAGGTTTAGCCATCAATCTTCTCTTACAACGACGAAGATAACTAAAACTAGAACAATTATAAATGTTTATTCTCTATTTTTTATCTAATTTTAAAGAACAATGGCACAATCGTTAATAAAAATTATGTTCTGGATATTTAGGACATTATCCGACTTTTGAAAGTTATTTTAGTTTATGAACCTTACAACAAAGTTACTTTGGTCATATTCATATTTTTGAAAGTTATTTGAAGTAATTTCTCTATAAAATAATATAAAATTATTATTATACATTAAAACGTATCTGTCAATAAACATAACATTTACAGAATGTATAGAAAAACTAATCAATACTTAAATTAACTAAATATATAAAAAATTATATCCGCACATACGACCAACTACCTACCTAATATATATAGATTACTAGTTGTTGGCCCGCGCAACGGCGCGGACATACATTATGTATTTTCTATTTATCGAAATTGTTTGACATAAATTTAAAGAGTAAAAAAAATATTTATTAAAACATATTGTAAAATAGCATTCAGTTAAAAATATACATAAAAGTTTTGACATCAGAAAACAAAACATACATTCGAGCAAGTTATATTAATATGCAATACGCAAGACCAATAACATTTTCAAAATGTAAACGGAGTAATCGTAATCTCTTTCATAAGACTTGCATGAGATGATAAAGTTTATTGATCTCTCGAACCACATTTACTGTCAAAACTTCTTTGTCATATTGTTACTTACAATTAGATTCACAATATGATTAAAGTTATGATAGCTAATATAAGGATTTATCTTGTATATAGTAATATTACATATTACGAAAACGATGAAGACAAAGACATGTCACTGTTTTTAACCATGTAAAGAAGTTGCACATATAAATTTAATGAAAAGAACGAAGTAATAGATATTTTAAAAAGATAAGCTGACTTAAGTAAAGCTCTTTAAATCATTTTATATAAACTACATACACGTTTAAAATAGATTGTTGCTGCATGATTATTACTTTGCTTTCTCCTAAAACACCAAAATGCTACAATCTTGGCATCTGAAGCAATCGAGACCATTGAATTGAAACTCGGGGAAGGACACGTGAACAATTACATCTCATGCAACACTAAGTACACCATATTATTATTAACTGTGTTGTCATTGTTACAAATATGTATATATATGCATGTTTCACTGATTGCATGTTTTTTCTTTCTGATTTTAGTGACCGATTGGTAGGGTGGCCGCCGGTGAGTACGGCGAGGCAGAGGAAACACGTGAAAGTTGTGGTGGATGGTGCGGCCTATCTCAGAAAGTCGATCTAGGGATGTACGATTGCTACAATCAACTTTTCACCGCTAGAAAACATGTTTCAAGGGCATGTAATAATATGTAAGTAAGAGAGGACTGCCACATGCTCATATGGTATTGTTTCCGACGAAATTTAGGACAACTGCAGTTGTTCAGCTTTCTTTCCATTTATCAGATCGACGAAATTTAGGACAACTGCAGTTGTTCAGCTTTCTTTCCATTTATCAGGTCAATAATTTGTTCATGTTCTTATATCCTAAATATGATAACTTTAGAGACAAAAATGTTGATTCCGCTAACTGATTTTATGTCTAAAAGATCTAAGAACATAGTACCCAAGAACAGAGCACACTTTGTATAAAAGAATATCTCTCTTTTATTGATGTTTAGAAAGTATAACTCAAAAACTAAACACCTTCGTTCCTCATATCAATGTCACAACTCGACATTGGTATTTATAGCCTTGGCACACATTGCCAATCCTATTCTCTATTGAATTAGCTAACTCCTAATTACAATAGGATTTCCTTAAGTCTATCTTATCCTAACCATCTTAGATTTGGCATCTTAGACTTAAGATAATGTTGAAGCTTATCCAACATTCTCCCTCTTAAGCTTCAAATTGGTCTTGGACATGTCTTCTACACCAATCAACTCTCTTATTTCCTTAAACTTGATTCGCGCCAATGCCTTGGTGAGAATGTCCGCCTTTTGTTCAGTCCCCGGAACATGCTCTACATCTACAACGTCTCTTTCTATACACTCTCGTATAAAATGATAACGTTTATGAATGTGTTTGCTTTTGCCGTGGAAAACAGGGTTCTTCGTGAGAGCTATAGCGGACTTATTATCGATCTTGATAACGATCTGTTCAGCCTTCCACCCTGTAATTTCGTTGAGGATGTCCTGCAGCCAAATCGCTTGTTTAGCTGCTTCCGTTGCAGCCATGAACTCTGCTTCACATGATGATAAAGCCACTGTGTCCTGCTTCTGAGAACACCAAGTAATTGGTGAAGATCCGAAATAGAAAATGTGGCCCGTGGTGCTTCTACCATCATCTTGATCTATGTTGTGGCTGCTGTCGCTGTAGCCTGTTATTCTCTTTGAACCTCCGCGCTCAAACTTCAGACCGTAAGTGACTGTTCCTTTGAGATATCGAAGTATCTGCTTCATCACATCGCCGTGTGACTTGCGAGGACTCTGCATATATTTGCTGGCAACTCCAACAGCAAACGCCAGGTCCGGTCTTGTGTTCAGCAAATACCTTAAGCAGCCTACATTCCTTCTATAACTCGTGGCATCTATCTCTGCTTCCTCTTGCGCCTTAGAAACTTTCAGTCCAAACTCCATTGGTACATGAGTTGGATTACATGCTTCGAGGCCTGCTTCTTTCAAAATCCTTAGCGCATAGCTTTCTTGTTTAATTTCGATGCCATCTTCTCCTTGGTATACCTCCATGCCGAGGTAATATGTGAGCTTGCCTAGATCAGACATCTCAAACTTTGTTGCCATTCCGACTTTGAAATCGTTTATTACTTTGATGGTGTTTCCTGTAACAAACAAATCATCCACATAAATGGCGACAATGAGTAGAGTGTCTCCCTCTTCCTTACGATATACAGAGGTTTCTTTGGAGCATCTTTTGAACCTCATTCCTTTCAGAATCTGATTTAGCTTTCTGTTCCAAGCTCGTGGAGCTTGTCTTAGTCCATACAAAGCCTTCGATAGCTTGTAGACCTTGTGTTCTTGACCCTTAACTTCGAACCCTTCAGGTGGAGATACATACACATCCTCCTTTAAATCGCCATGTAAGAATGCAGTTTTCACATCCAAGTGATGTATCTCCCATCCGTGTGAAGCCGCCAAAGCAATTAATAGTCTTATGGTTTCGAGTCGAGCAACTGGTGCAAAAACTTCGTCAAAATCTATGCCGCTTTCTTGTACATAACCTTTAGCTACAAGACGTGTTTTGTACTTGTTGATTGTACCATCTGCGTTTTTCTTGATTTTGAAAACCCACTTAAGACCAATGATCTTAGTCTCGTGTGGTTTATCAACCAGAAACCATGTCTTATTTTTATTGATTGAGTCAATTTCTTCTCTGCATGCTAGGCTCCACTCTTCGGAGTTCTCTGTTTCTTTAAAGCTACTTGGCTCGTCGTTTATTGAGAGAAGTACATTTTCACACAGATACAGGACATAATCACCGAGGTAACTTGGTAGAGAAGTATCACGGTTTGACCTTCTCAAAGGTTGTTGAGGCTGTTGCACAGCTTGTTGTTCTGCTTCACCACCGTTGTTGTTATCCTCTGCTCCGTGATTATCGTATTCGTGATGCTCGCCATCACTGGCTTCGTTGTTTTCGTTAGGCAAATCGTTGCCAACTACTGCAGGTCCTTCTCCGGCATCCAACGTTTCTCCCCATCGCAACTGAAACATTCCAGGATCTGGATACAATCCGTTTGCTTTCTCGTTCCAGTTCCAATTTGAACTTTCATCAAACAAGACGTCACGACTTACTACCACCTTACGAGTTGTCGGATTGTATAATCTGTATGCCTTGGATCCAGGCTCGATCCCAAGGTTTACCAGTGGCTTCGATCTATCATCTAGTTTTCTAAGATGATTCGAATCGATCTTTGTGTAGGCAAGACATCCGAAAACTCTCAAGTGATCAAGTCTCGGTTTCTTCTCTTTCAGGCTTTTGTAAGGAGTAATATTTTCAAGAGCCTTCGTTGGTACCCGATTAATTAAATAGGTCGAGTGGCGAACTGCTTCCCCCCATAAGTAATTAGGTACCATCATTGCTTTGAGAATACTCCTCGTTATCTCCATTAGAGTCCGATTTCTCCTCTCCACCACCCCGTTTTGCTGCGGTGTGTAAGGCGCAGTTAGATGTCTTTTTATGCCGTTGTCGTTGCAGTAGTCTCGGAACTCTGTTGACGTAAACTCCCCGCCTCTATCAGTTCTTAGAGTTAAAATCGTCATTCCCAGCTCCTTCTCAATTAGACTTCGAAACAATTTGAACTTCTGAAACGTTTCACTCTTCATCAGTATAGTCCACATATATCTCGAGTAGTCGTCTATAATAACAAATATGTATCTGTTATTAGCTGCAGTCGCTGGTGAGATGGGTCTGCAAAGGTCTGCGTGTAGAAGTTCTAATGGCTTCTTGGCTTGAAACATGGTTGCTTTCGGAAACGACTGTCGTGTTTGCTTTCCGACTAAGCAAGACTCGCACAGTTTATTATCTTCTCTGATCTTAGGCATCCCATGTACTACTTCTTGTTGAGACATCGTCTTCAGTGTCTTGAAGTTTATATGTCCCAACCTTGCATGCCACTTCCATGTGTCGTCTTCTATGCTGGTTCTTAAACAAATCGGTTTACCTATCTTCAGCTTGATTTTGTATAGTCTATTAGGTGATCGGTTTACTTTAACCAATAATCTTCCTCTCGGGTCATGGACGGTAAGACTATCTTGTCTCATCCGTACATCGTAGCCCACTTCAGTTGCTTGTCCTAAGCTCAATATATTGCTTTTGAGCTCGGGGATATAATATATATCTGTTACAAGCTTTTGTTCATCGGATTTGCTTTGAAAAAGTATCGATCCTTTTCCTCCTATCTCGACACATGAACCATCGCCAAACTTTACTTTTCCCTTAATACTTTCGTTGAGCTCCGAGAAATACTCCTTATGTCCGGTCATATGATTACTCGCCCCATTGTCGAGATACCATAACCCTTCTTCTTCCGCAGTTGTCTCGAAGTTCTTTGGAAGTACCTTTCCTTCGTTTAAGAATACGATCTCATGCATATAAAGAGCCGCATCAGCTTCCTCTGTTTCGACCTTATTTGCTTCTTGATCTTTCTGTATTCTTGTGGGACACTTAGAGGCAAAGTGGCCGGGTCTATTGCACCTGTAGCAGATCACTTTCGATCTATCTTTCTTGTCTTTTGATCGATTCTGGTCTGTACTTTCTTGTGCAGATTGACCTTTTCCTCGTCCTTTTCCTCCTTTGCCCCGTCCTCTGCTTCGAGATGAGTTTCGTTCTTCTGATTTTGCGTACAAAACCTTCTCTTGTGTTTCCGTATGATTCTCCTCATTAAAAACCCTTTCTTCGAACGCTTTGAGTCTTCCGACAATGTCTTCAAAGCTGGTTTTGTTTAAATCCAGAACTTGCTCAAGTGAAGCGATGAGGTGTATATATTTACTTCTTGGCAAACTATTGAGAAACTTTTTTACAAGTTTTGGCGTTTCTATAGTTTGCCCAAGAGCAGCGAACTTTGAAGCGATTTCTGATAACTTCCCGGAGAAGCCATCGATTGTCTCAGTGTCCTGCATTCGTAATCTCTCAAACTCTGACATGAGAGTTTGAAGTCTTGCATCCTTAACACGATCAGCTCCGAGATTTCTTGATTTTATTGCTTCCCAAATTCCCTTAGGAGATTCTTGCTCACCGACTTGTAAGATTAAGGCCTCCGGGATTGACTGAAACAATAAGCCTATTGCGATATCATTCTTCTCGAGAGATAGAGAACCAGGTTCAATAGTCTCCCAAACTTTGTGAATTCGCAGGAGGACTTTCATTCTCATGGCCCAAACCGTATAGTTAGTTGCGGTTAACATGGGACATTGAATGGAAGAAGGAATTACATCCTTTGGGCGGGCTGGAGGATTGACATCACCCATGTCTCGGTTCTGTCTTCTCCCTCGGTTGCCTGCAGTTTCTTGATCAAGCTCCTGTCAATGGATCTTGTCCTATAGCTCTGATACCAAATAAAAGATCTAAGAACAGAGTACCCAAGAACAGAGCACATTTTGTATAAAAGAATATCTCTCTTTTATTGATGTTTAGAAAGTATAACTCAAAAACTAAACACCTTCGTTCCTCATATCAATGTCACAACTCGACATTGGTATTTATAGCCTTGGCACACATTGCCAATCCTATTCTCTATTGAATTAGCTAACTCCTAATTACAATAGGATTTCCTTAAGTCTATCTTAT